CCAGGCCCACTCCCAGCCATGGGTCTTGTGCACGGTGACAGAAATTGCAGCCCAGCCTGGCATGGCCTGACCTCTGTCAGCATTTGCCAGCAGGTCCTGCAGCCTGGCTAAGCTGAGTCGACTACAGCCTTGCCCTTACCCAATCCTGGCTCTCATTTGTGCCAGAGTGTGCTGTAGTCTGGCCCACTCTGGCCTGCCCCCAGTCCCAGCTCTCACTCAGCAGGCGGAGGTGTGGCCTAGCAGTGGAATTCCAGTGCTTTGATATTTGCCACTTCTGCTTGGCAGAGAGGGATGTAAGGGGAAAGAGAAAATGATTGAGAAATTTTTTAGGAGAATGTGTACTTCCGGATCCCCCTGCATCGAAGTCACTTCATCTAGATTTAATTATATCCCAAACCCACAACTCTAGGTATCATCACATTGGGAATTACGCCTTCAGTGTATGAATTTTGGGGAAACAATTTAGTTCGTAGCATTTCCTAACTATATTAATGTAATTTCTTGTTTACCTAGTATTTTGTTAATTTCAAAGTTAATGCTTTTCTTGCTATTTACTGTAAAATAGTTTTGTGCAATTATTTCTCTCAGCAATAATCTGTTGATGGACTCAGCTAGCATAGATATGTTATGTGTGTACTTTGGTTTATTTAACCAAATCCCAGTGGATGAACGTGTAGATTGTTTTCTGTCTGCTGCTGCTGCAAATTCTGTTTTGGTTATTGGCTTTATGCTTACATTTGAGGAAGCACATCGACAGATTACCACCTGGGATGCTGGAGTGGAGTGCTCGCTTTGACTTGCCAGCACTGTTTGGGTTTGGACCAGTGGGAGGAAGATCTCCATCACAGTCTTAGTGTGTATCTTTCCCTTCAAATAAGCGAATTAATTAAAACCAAACAGCATTGTGCCATTTGTGTTCCTACTTGCACGCACTGACAGAGCTCCTGTGAGTGTGTCATGCCAGATTGAAGATTTTGCTTACTTGATAGGTGAAGAATAGTTTTTCAGTGAAGTTTGAGTTTTATTTTCTTGTGGCCAAGGTTGACCGTGATTTAGGTTGCTGTAATTTCTTTTTCTAAAGTGTGTATTAATATTCTTTGTCCATTTTCTATCATAATGGGACTAGTTGTAGTCATTGCCTTTGTTACCTTTAAATTAAAAGATTTACTTATTTTTATTGGAAAGGATATAGAAAGAGGAGAGACAGAAAGATCTTTCATCCTCTGATTCACTCCCAAGTCACCGCAATGGCCATAGCTGAGCCGATTTGAAGCCAGGAGCCAGGAAATTTTCCAGGGTCTCCCACAAGGGTGTAAGTTCCCAAGGCTTTGGGCCGTCCTCAACTGTTTTCCCAGGCCACAAGCAGGCAGCTGGATGGGAGGTGGGGCTGCTGGAATTAGAACCAGCGCCCATATGGGATCCCAGTGAATGCAAGGCAAGGATTTAGCCACTAGGCTATCATGCCAGGTTTCTTTCTTACCTTTTCACACGGTGGAGTTGAGGTATTATGTAAAGGTTACTAGACACAAGTTTTTTTTTTTATGAAGTTTGAATATCCTATATTGTGAATTAAGGAGGAAAATGGGGAAATTTTGGCTTGAATCAGCTGGGTAAATGAGCATTGTCACCTTACCACAGAAAGTGTTTCAACAGTAGAAACGATGTAGTGCCACTTGTGTCTGTTAAAAATCATCAGTTGCTTTTGAAAATACGCATATTTTAAAATGTGTCCAAGTCCTGCTTTACCTGTCTTCTGCTTACGCACACACGTTGGCTTCCCCTGAAGCAGTAGACAGTGGGAATAGCCATGGTTTGTAAGGTTCTGGTCACCATTCACTAGAGAGAACAACTAGGGGTCAGTTTATCCTCTGTTCCTTATCTTTATTTACATGCAGCAGACATCAGGTGTCCTTCCAGTGTGTGCAAAAGGAGTCATGCAGCCTGGGGCCCCAGCAGGGGTGAGGAAGAGGAGTGTCTCTTTAGCAGCTCTCTTAGGCAAATAGAGTGGAGCAGCGTCATGTCACTGGTCAGTACAGCCTTACTGGCTCTCAGCTCTTAGATGTTAAACTCACAGGCTGTGTTCTTTCTATCTCTTTTTTATTTTTACTTGAAAGGCAGGTGTACAGAGAGAAGTCAGAGAGGTCTTTCATCTGCTGGTTCACTCCCCAAATGGCAACAATGGCTGAGCTGAGCCAATCTGAAGACAGGAGCCTGGAGCTTCTTCCGAATCTCCTATGTGGGTCTAGGGTCTCTAGGACTTGGGGCATCCTCCTTTGTCTTCCAGTCAAGCAAGGAGCTGAATGGGAAGTGGGGTAGCTGGCACACGAACCAGCTCCCATGTGGAATGCTGATGGCGCTTGAGTTGGCGGGTTGGCATGTTGAGACACTGTGCTAGACCCTGGGACTGTGTTAGATTGTGCATGTCATGTGCTTGAATCCACATCAGCCACACACTGCTTGTACAGTCAGTAAATAGTTGTAACTGGTGCTACTATTGTTTTTGTATAGTTTCCTAGAGAAAGATATTAACAATATTCCAGTTGTGATTATATTGTTTACAGAGAGGCAAGAAGAAAAGCTTGAGTTGTAATTCCATCACAGCGAATTCTGATGATAATAAACTAGTGTGGTGAACATTGGAGATTTTGTTTTATTTTCATCTTTTAAATTTTCATTAATATTTGGAGCATGAAGTTTATGTAATTCTTGTAAATTTCTTTGGTAACACAAATGCAGTGCTGTTATTAAAAAATATCTTTTCAGGGTGGGAGTTTGGCACTGCAGTTAGAGCCCATGTCTCAGTCCCCGGGTCTGAATGCTGGCGTGGGTGCCACTTTCAGCTTCCCACTGCTGCGTGCTCTGCAAAGCTGAAGTCGTGGCTCCAAGTGCCTAGGCCCCTCCACTCACCTGGAAGAGCAGCCTGGCCCGGCGCTGTGCTGTTAGGGGCATGTGGGAAGTGAACCAGTAGAAGGAAGATGGATTTCTCATTTCTCTCTTTTTCCCAAAAAAGTGTTTATTTTTTAGTTTTTTAGTACAGAATTATATTTTCATCTGAAGAAGGCAGCTTTAAGTTGGCGGGATGCTTGGATCTTCATTGGCACCAGCAGCTCTTTTTGCTGTAGAAATCAGCCTCTGTATTTGTTCAGAGGGAAAAGCCAATGAATTAGAAGAATATTTGTGATTAATAAGTTAGTGAAATATTAGTACGCCTTAATAAAATATTGGTAGAATATTTATGATTAGAAAAGATGTTTGGCTATATTAAACTGTGGTTCAGTCTAGTCCCTTTTAGGGACTTAGAATATCATCGGATTACTGTCATGTTTCAGGATTGTATTATCAGGAATATAAATATGACATTAAAGTGATAGCTAAGATTGAAAAAGTTTAAATGTCTTAGGAATCCTGTTTTTCATAATTGATTTTCTTCTTCTTCTTTTTAATATTTATTTTATTGTTATTACAAAGTCAGATACATAGAGAGGAGGAGAGATAGAGAGGAAGTGGGGCTGCCGGGATTAGAACCGGCGACCATATGGGATCCTGGCGCGTTCAAGGTGAGGACCTTAGCCACTAGGCCACGCCGCCAGGCCCATAATTGATTTTCTAAAGTCTGACTTTTTCCAGTGGAAGATGCTAACTCTTAGTGACTGTCCACTATATCGTTGTTTGGTCATTTTGTAATCATATAGAATAAAGTAAGTGAAGCAGACTTGAACTGAGAATTGGGCAGCATTATATAAGGTAATTTTTTAAAAACTATTTGTAATTATATAGAATAGAACGTGGACTACTTATTTGAAAATGGGAGATAAATCAAATTGTGTAGGATTCAACATACCAAATAATAAAATCTAGCAGATTTTTTGTGATTTTGAGCTGAAGATATGTTGCTGTTCGGATGATTTATCTTTTAGATCGAAACAAATGACTTTATAGGATTAAAATTTGACATGTAACAAGACAAGACGTATACATTTAGGAAAGCAACCATAATTTTAATGTTGTTCAGTTAATATTCATTTCTAAAACTCATGAGTGAGATTCCATGTCATAACATTCAGTAAAGGTCTTTTTCTTTGCTTTTTCAAGTTACGGCCTCAGTAAAAGTGCATTGTATACCTTTTTCAGCCTTGAATCAAGTGTTGTTGAAACATTTATAGTTTTCCTGTATCCCCCCCCCAGGTACTCATTGGTATGTAGATTGTCAACTGTTGATATTCTAAAAATGCGGATTTGTAAACTTGGCACTCGCATGGTTAAGTGCTGGCATGTGAGCACCTGCTCTCAGGAAGTGGGCTTCCCACGTGTCGCATTGTGGCTGGCATGCATCTTCATGTGTTGAATGGGACTGGCACTGCAGTCTCCATCTTTTTTTCAACAGCAGTTCTTTGTGTCTTTAAGTGATAATTTTTGCTTCCGTTGGAAGAATGTGGTTATTTTTACAGCTACATTTGAAGTCCGATAGTTTTGTAATTAGATGGTAGTACTCTGAAAACGCGCAGTGGGTGATAGAATTGCATAATTTACTGAAATACTTGCATGACTTTACAAATGAGGAAACAGACTTTTCTGTTTTTGAAATGTTTAATAACTTTTTAAAGAACAACTTGAGCCTGAACAGAGTAATTTTTTCCACATTTTATCACATTATATCAAAATAATTTTCCTTGATATATGTGTTAATAGGTTGAAATGAGTCTTGTACTTAGTTTTAAAAAGTAAATAGTTGAAACCTGCATTGATGAGACATCTGAGCTTTCTGAATGACTTTGGGAACTCAATCTTATTGCATGGGATATAATGTTTATAACCCTAGAATAGTCAGGTCAGATTTGCCCTTTGCACAGTTACAAAGTTTCCTTGAAGCTGATGATAATGTTTTATTTACATTTAATTATGTATTGAAATGAAAAATGTAAATCTAAAATGAAGTATCTTTTGATTGTACTTGCTAAATTAAAATTTATGTGGAAAAATATATGGAAATACATTAATGTGTGACTTGAACCATTAATGTATGCATGCTTATGGTTGCATGTTAATTGATAGAATCCCCTTACAAAGTTTTTAATAGATTCCTCTAGGGTACCTTTTAATCAAAGAATTGTTATAGAATCTTACTCTTTAAAGAATCACCTTTTCCGGAAATTAAAAAAATAACTTTTGGATTCCTTTATGTGATGAATTTTAACTAAAACTTGTCCTGTGGATGCAGTCGGTTTTAGTTAGGCATGCTGAGTACTATTTACAGCTCACACGTTGGAAGAGCTCAGTGTAGTTTCCGGTGCCGGTAGCTGCCTGCCTTCCCCTTGGCTGCACTGGCACAGGCGTTGTGCTTGTTCTGTTGCAAGTGGTTCCAGTGCTTTATCAGTTCACTGGGCTGGAACTGATGAGAGGTGATTAGATGGCTGTACTTACAGCTTGAGTACGAAACTCGCCAGTGATTGAACACAAACTCATTGGGAGGGGGGACAGGGTCAATTCTTAACTTGGCAAGACAGATCCCTACATAGACATCTTCCAGATGCAAACGACGGATACCCAAGGACACTTTAAATATCTTTCCTGCCAGGTCTCCAGAAAAAACATAACCAGTTCCAGAGCAGAAGACAGGGTAGCGCTCACTCGGGTACAGCTCTGGCGGCATGTACCATTTGCTGTCCTTGTTCCGGTTGGGCGCATATCCTCGCATTAGGTAACCCGTAAAATAGTTGTGTCTAGGAGGCAAGTCTGGTTTTAGTAACTTGTGTATTAAATACTCAGTATTGACAAACATGTCACTGTCAGTTTTCATAACGTACGGAGTATGTGGACAGTATGTTGCAACCCAGTTCATTCCCATTAGTGTTTTAATGGTCAAATTATAGTACGTATCTAGGTATTCCTGTTGAATTATGTCATGATACTCTCTACTTTCTTCCAGTATTGCACGTTGAATGTAGCCATTTGACTTGATACTTAAGCCCAATAAAAAAATGCGTGTGATTTTAATACCAGGTACTAGACTTTCATTGCCCCACGTTTGCCGAATAGCTCTTCTTGCTTCAATTTGTCCAGGTTCTGCTGCTATTAACAGTATTAAAAAGGGGCTTTTCTCTTGGCACTTTTCCGGTTCGTTGATGACATATTTGAAATGATAAGAATTTGAATATCTGGTGCCCTTTTCATTATAAACACTTCCGTTGGCACTCAGTGTGTTCTCGAGCCCTGTGACCTCTTGTGGTGCCAGCTCTGTGTTGTTGGCGTTGGTTGCTGTTTGAGGCCTCAGAGTGTGAGGGATTGTTTCTTTCCAAATGTTCCGAAGGGAGCTGTGGTTTGTCTCGCTTTTTGTGAAGCGAAATCCCCGGAGAGTGTACGTCACAGGGTTTTCTTTGAGTCCAGCTCTGCCTGGCAGCCAGTCTTGATGACTGAAAAACAGAAGCATAGCAAACAGACACACGAGGGAGAGCACGCCGACGAGATGGGTGCGAAACAGAGACCTCTTGGCGTTCCAGGTCATCTTGGCAAAGCAGCAGTGTCTCCTCCGCCACTGAAGCATGGTGTGAGAGTCCAGGGCCGGTCTGGGGGGAGGCGGCAGCACGTTGCCTGGCTTCTTCTGAGTTAGTGCTGTTCTTTGGTCATCATTTTTAGTTCACTCATGTGTCCCTCGCAGTCATTCTATAAAGACACATTGTAAAAGTTTACAAAACCACAAATCTTATAAAACTGTCTAAAAGTCTTGGATGTTAATAAAATTAAGTAAATTGAAATTTCCTAAAATGTAAAAATTTGGCAGCGCAGACATTGGGCTCAGGACTGGGTTCCCTTTGGCAGCATGGCATGCCTGAGAATGGGGCTGAGCGCAGTGAGCGTGTTGGAGGGAGGAGTGGGATAACTGTCTCCATTTACTTCATTGTCTCAGCAGCTTTAGTCAATGGTGTTTTTGACCCACACTTAAAATTCAAAAGTTACATGGATGTAGGTCTTACTAGAATTCCAAGAAAGGCCAAGTTAAGAATCCCTTGGGAGCAGATAGAAAATTTATTGGCTTTAATTAGAATTGATTCGACATGCCGTTGGTGGTACGGTGCACAGTCTGTGGCCTCTGTAAAATGGTCATGCGTTAGTTGTGGGAGTTGTGGGACAGACGGTGCAGGGTTGATTACAGCAGAGTTCTGTATTCACAGTACACTGCTTGGCATGTTTCCATTGGCCCCTACTGTGTTGACAAAGTCAATGAGAAGATGCACCTGTCAGAACTGATTTTCAGGGTTCAGTAACTTCAGTGCTCGGTGTTTAGACAGTAATAAATGACGGACATATTCAAATACTCCATCCTAATTTGAACTTTGTCCTTAAATATGAGGTATTTGAGAGATTATTGCCTTTGCTTAGACTTAAGATGGGCTTCAAAGCAGAATAAGTGTTGTCTTTAATGACCGATGGCTTTGGCAAAGCACTGTCACATATCTGTATGGCTCCGTGTTAAGATGAAACCCAAAACTACCTTGAGTAGTCTTTCTGGGTTTCCAGCAAAACAGATGGTAGCTGTTTAACCCAGCTATTTAAGATCACTAACGTTCACAACATGTACTTTAAAACATTTTTGAGTTGTGCTATTTTCTTGCAGAAGATCAGTTAAAATTTTATGTCTTCTAATAGTACACCTCTTGGAGCCATAGATACATATTTTAATAATGTGTTTGGGAGTTTATGAGACATATTAACTATTTCTTGTACTATCTCACAGCAAGCTTTCTAACTTACAGCACAAACTTGACTCACATTTGTTTCTAGTTTTTCTGTGCCGTGGTGCAAGGCTTTTAGAGGTAGGAGAATGGCTGAAGTTTTAATGTTGTTAAAAAGAGAGACCGTCTTTTGGGAAAGGGAGACCAATGAATATATAGCTTTAGTTTTAAGATTTTTACTGTGGAAAATATTTTTTTAAGCAGAAGAAACCAATTGGAAATTTAATACAGGAGTATGTATTTGGCATTACTAAATGTGTGACTGTCACTGTTTACTTAACCAATGATATTGATTGATGGTTCGTAACAAATTTGCTTAGCCTTGCCATGAAATTTAATTATGTTTGGAAAATAATAGCATTTACATGTAAATCTTCAGAGTTTTGAAAATTGTATGATAAAAATCTATATATTGTGAAGTACTTTGAAAATACAGAGTTAAATTTTGGGTGTGTATGAACAAAAGTGCGATTTTAGTACTAGCCACTAGGAGGAGCAAGTAGATGATATTTTGAGTGAATTTCTTAAGTGTTACCATCCAGGCACCAGCATTTGATAATTTCTGATCTGTGAAATTACAGAGAACTTCTAGAAGTTCTAGTAGTTATCACTGGAAAAAATGATCATTTTGAGAGATACAAATGATGTTTAAGCCTTGGATTTGAAAAATGACTGTCTTAATATTAGAATTTATTTACATGAACTTGAATCTCACACTGCTCACTGCCCCAACAGAACACATTTGTAATTCTGCTAAGAACCAAGAGGAAGCCGAGGGAGCCGAGTCCTCTGGAGTCAGAAGGCAGGAGTTTTGTCCTCCCCCATAATTGCCAATACTTGTTCTGATTAGATCAGGAAAGGAAAAGCTTTTGTTTCCTGATTGTGTATTTAGTAGATGGTGCTGAATACCCTTTTAATTTTATAGTAAGACCAGCATTATTGTAGGATTATGTTTATAAATTTCAAATAGACAAGTTATTTTTTAAACATTTATTTTTAGATTTCCAAGGCTACATAAGTATGCCAGCATTCTGTTCATGTAAAAAACATATCTGATTGAAGTCTGCTCTTTGTGGTATTGAATTAGTACAAACTCTGGCTCAAGAAGCAATAAGTGTAAAGTTAGATATCTTAGTGAATGGGTAAATGGAAGACCAAAGGGAAGTGGGGAGTTAATCCTGTAGTAACAAGTGACACTGTTTTAATGCAAACAATTTTTAATTTTTTAATGCAATACAATTTTCAAAACTCTGAGGACGTGGCTCTGGAGCATCTCGGTGCTAACGGAGAACAGCAGGCTGTTTGTGTTGTAATGCCACATAACGGGATTTTTGTTCTCATGCTTTTATAACAGTATGTGGTAAAGGTATATCTGAACTCAAATTTTGTGATAGTTCCATGTTTGTAAAATGGTGAGCTGCTGTGGCATTCACCTTCTTATTTGCCTCCCATTGACAAACAGCCATTCGGCCAGCCTGAAGGATTTGTTAGTGAAGTTTCTCATAGATTATCATAAGTTTTCTGTTCAAAAGGAAGTATAATTGAAGTTACAGTTCTTGTTTTACTCAATAAAATACCTCTCCAGTTATTACTTATTTAAATTCTTGATAGATGAGAACAAGACAAGGAATTTAAAGTGTTCTGTTATGCAAAGCAATTTTGTGCTTTTATGTTTTCAAAATAGAAATAGCTTTGGCTGTCTTATTTAGCTGGTAGTATTTTAGATTTAATGTGTATTCATGTGGTGTGACTGAGTTCAGAAGGTCGCTGTGATACAATGTCTAGTTTGTGGACAGAGTTTTTTGTGCAGTTTTTATAAGTGTTTATCTCCAGCAGATTCAAGTGGTGCTTTAAAAGAAAACTTCTGAACTTCATTTTGAGATGAGCAGCTCGTAAAACTGCTTAGGAACTTTAAGTAGTGAGAGATGGAGGTGCCGAGAGACTCGAGATTTTCCAACTATATTTTGTTTTTCAAGAATACTGTTTGTTTACACTAGTATACAAACTCGTGATGATGATTTGAATCGATACTGAGATACAGTTGGGCCTGAAAGGCTCAACCAGCGTTAATGTAATGTTTCTTGTCTCACTGCTTGTGATGATTAAATAGTAGGCTGTCGAGTAATGTGAAATTGAGGTAAAATAAAGATCATGATACATAGCATTTTAGATGTATTTGCTTTAGCTCTGTCCTGTGCCTGCAGGCAGTGGGAGCAGCTCCTCAGGCATGTGAAGGCATCGAGCACAGTGGCTACATTTATACTTTGTTGTTTAATCTTGTCTTGCCTGCAGTGTGGATATTTTGTAACAAAATATTTTCATATTGTTGAATTTCAGTTTTAGAGTTATCAGTAGATTCAGATGTGATCTTTTAGGATAATGGAAAGGATATATATTTTTTTTAGCAGTTCTTGATATTTTTTTGTTTAAAGTTATGTCCAAGATCTTGTAATAAAATGCGACTCTACCCTGGTATCGTGCTGTGCATAAGCTCAGTGGCTCATGTGAGTCTATGCTAATGCTTTCTTTTTCGTATCTTGTCGCTCGGTAATACTTCAAATTTGTTGGTGGTCTCTTATGCTATTTTGTTATCTTGTGGAGGTAATTATTGGAGGGAAGAAAAGTGATCAAATATAAAATTTTGCTTTAAAAGGAGTTTGGAATAAAAGAAATCCTTAATATGTAGATCATTCTTGGTAGTGTTTAATGTAATTGCATTGCATTGTCTCCTGATAGCCGTTTTTAAGAGAGCACTTAAATCTAATAGATAAGGATTCAGTTTGACCTGATTTGGTAGAGGCTGGCTATGTTTTTTGTTAAGTCAGTAAATTTTTAATTTCTCAGAGAATCCCTTTAAACACATCAGATTATTATTTGCCTTCCCCCATATGTCTATAACCCAGAATTACTCTAAGCTGCATGTTTAGCTGAATAAAGCAGTGACAGCTTGTCTTCTAAACAATGACAAATTTTAAGATCATATATTTAGAAACCCCCCTCATAGTTTCAAGGGCAGTGAACTGTCTGAACTTGTTTATCAGGTATTCCTGCCTCTGGGGCGAGAGAAAGGGGACACATTTAGATGCAGATCATACACGACAGAGCGACATACCTTCCTTGCTCGAGCCTTTGATGTGGAGAGGATCGTGCCCACTGAAGACTTTTGGCACGCCATCACTTCAGCAGAAAGCTGCTGTCGAACCTGCGCACATCCCCCAGCAGCCTGCCTCCCGCGATTGCTTTCCAGAGTCCATCTGTCTGCTCGTCTCCCACTTCCCCTGCGTGTTCATATGGGCACTCGTCTCCGGAGATTCTCCCTTTCTTTCATTTTCTCTCTCCTTTGTTAAACAAAAGAGCTGTAGTTGTCCCTTGTGTCGGGAGCCCTGTTGACTCTTGCTGACAGTTGATGCATTGAGGCTTTTTACATCTGCTGTTTTCCCGGCTGGACAATGCGGTGCTGTGTTCTCTGCTCAGTATCCATATTTCTGGTGGTAGCACTGAGCTGCAATGTAAAGCAGCCAGAGCTGGAATCCGGCGCTTGGACGGTGTTGAAAGCGTGGGTTTGCCTCTCCTTCGGCTCTTGTCTGGGAGCTGCAGGGAGGGTTTCTCTGAGCAGTGTCTCGGGGTTTTAGTCCATTCTGTGAGTCCAAGGTTCCTCAGCTGCTGCACAGGCAGGCAGCAGTTTAAATGTGGGCTTGACAGATGCTCTCTCTGACAGAGCAGAATTTAACGTCACTGCTTGGCTGAATCCCACGTGATTTTTTGCATTCATTTTGACTAAAAACCCAAGGTAGGGAGAGGCTTGAAGATTTTGCTCTCATGTGATGAATTA